TACGAATACATATACATATACATATACATATACATATACATATACATATACATATACATATACATATACATATACATACACATATACGTACAGATATACATATACATACAGATATACATATACATATACATATACATATACATATACATATACATATACATATACATATATATATATGTTGAAATATATTGACATATAGGTACCGTCTGCTCTTCTGTTTTCACTATCGCATACATGTATAAATCGACAAATGATGGCGCCAGAGCAAGGAGGGCGCCTCTTCCTCTCCGTTTTCTGCATTGTCGGCCTCCCAGTCACAGCCGCAATGAAAGCTTCTTCCAACACAAGGGCCCTCTTTGCGGGGGTCCTTATATTCAGCATCCTGTTCCTTGTCATCTGACGTGCATAGTTGGGCCGGGGGCCCCGAGCGCACATTTCTGGGGGCTAAACCTCTCACACCGCAAACCGAAAAGATCTGACCCTAGAACCCCAAACGGGCCTCATCTTCCTCCGTCGCAGGCCCTGCCTCCTTTGCGGCTCCTGTCCAGTCATTGCACGTTTTACGTGTTCTAGGATTTAGACCTAGAAGCCAAAGAGCTGTAGTCCTTCGGACATGTCGGCGTCGGAGCTCTTTGGTGCCTGGTCACAGCACTCTCGGCTTCCACTGTTAGGGTTCAGCTTCGGATTTAGGGTTTAGGGTTTAGGGTTTAGGGTTCAGGGTTTGGGGTTCGGGGTTTAGGGTTTGGGGTGTAGGGTTTGGGATTTAGGGGCCACACAAAATGTGGGGAAGCGACATTCTCAGAAGAGGGCTAGCTTGTGAAGAAATGATGAAAGATGACTTTAGAAGCAGGGTTCTTGTGATAGGGGGAAAGCTCCCAGATTGGCAAACCAGTGGATGAAGGCTTCTGCGCTTCCTTTTTTTGCTCCCGCGTGAGTTGAAGCACTTTCGAAGCTCAGAGCCCCCCGCCGGACCAGACCTGACCACCACACTCTTGGAGGGCATAGAAGGCGAGGGCCATCAGTGAAGTACCCGAAAGGTCACCAAGACCGCAGATCAGCGGGCTGGCGGCATTGTCGGGATCTATGCGATTCTTCCAAAGCAGGACGACGAGACTGCGGGCTGCCATCATCAAGATAGATACTTGGCACAGGCTGGCCGTGATGAAGCAGGCTAGGAAAAGCGGTGTGGGCAGGGCCGAGAGACCCGATGCATTTCCAATTACGACGCATGAAAACAAAATCTGGCCGGGGACGATGAGGATAAAGAGCAGCCTTGCGAAACGACCTCAGATGACTGCTGTTGATGGACTGCTGCCATATGAGAGTTTCCGAAAATAAGCCGTACCGTATTTTGGGGTCCTTATAATAAGGATCCTACTATATTAGGGTCCCCTATTTTCGGAAAGTTGTATATTGCTACTCACTGCATCTATACTCTGCTGCCATTTCGTCTACTCTTTGACGCTTTTACGCTTTCTCGTGCTGACAGACATGCTACTATTGCTATAAGCCACTCGTCTTCGTGCTAGCATTGTATTTCGTTGTACTGAACGACCACTACACATCACTACGACGTTGCTACGACTGCTACTCCTACCGTACACATACCGTACTCCACGCTCCCACTGTTATACTAACAACCCTAAACCCAAAACCCTAACCCCTAAACCCCTAAACCCTAAACCCTAAACCCTAAACCCTAAACCCTGGCTCCTAAACCCCTAAACCCACTAAACCCTAAACCCTAAACCCTAAACCCTAAACCGTACTAACAACAGTACTGCGAAGAGCGGCCCATCTCCCCGCTTTCTCTCAGCACGCGCAGGGACAGCCAATCCTCGAAGTGCTGGTCCTGCATCTCGAGGTCGACCCAACTGTTTCGGAGCTGCAAGTGAACCTCTCAACATCTGGAGGCGCGCCCTCTTGAATTAGGGTTTAGGGTTTAGGGTTTAGGGTTTAGGGAGAAAAAGAGAGAGAAGTACTTAGAGAAGTACTTGGGAAGTAAATCGGAGCCGAGTCGCGTCGACTGCATCGCCAAGGCCCAGGACGCGCGGATCGTTTTTCGTCTGCCCCAAAGTGCTCAGACTTTTGTTGAGCGTGCGGAAGGCCGGCGGGAGGTTCAGCGGCTTCTGCAAGTAGGCTTTGACTGTACCTGGGTAGCTTTCGAAATCAGGGTCTCTTTTAGGGTCCTTTTTATAAGGGTGCCGTACTATATTGGGGACCCAAAAAGGGACCCTGTTTTAGAGAACTACCCACCTTCCAGTTCGGCCTTTGTGAGGGCAAGATCTGTCGACAGCTTTGCTGAGAAGATGGCCCCCAAGTTCCCGCCGGCACCGTTCATCACCACCTAGAGAAACTGAGAGCTGAGAAGCTCAAAAGGGTTCATAGAACTTCATAGAGCTTCCTTAAACTCAACATTGAGTTGGTTAAAGTATGAAAGTTCCCCCTCCCCCCCAAGCAAGCAAGTTCCCCCCCGCCGGCTGACCTGGAAGAGAGCAAAGTTCTTGAATTTTGCGATCGAGGCTTGGGAGATGGGCCCGGACAGGTTGCTCAAGAGCATTGAAACCAGAATCGGATACCAGCCATACCTAAGTTGTCCTTTGAGCCATTTGAAAATTAATTTACTATTATGGTTCTCTACAAAATAGTAAGAGAAATTAAAAAAGATCCCAAAAGACAACCCAGATACTTCATGATCTCATGGGAGTACTCGCTTCGGTATGCGCCCATGCAGCAAAAAGCTGCCACGAAAGGGTACACACAGAGTAGGCAGGGAATCACTGTGAAATAGAGTGACTCTGGTAGAGCCCAAAAGAGCTTCGCCACAAGAACCACGATGCTGAGAGTGCAAAAGTCTCCCAAAGTTCCTGCAATCGGTGCCGTTATATTGTCTGGATCCACACCCCGCCGAGATGCAGCGACAACAATTGCAATCATCAGAAGGGAAAGCACCAGAGACGCAATGCTGGCGGCGGTGATGGAGCTCGAAGCTAGCAGCAAGACCTCGGCTGGGCTCCAGCCGGATGTAATGTAGTTCTCAAAGGCCGCTAGCATGGAAGCCACCGTGCCTACGACGATTGCCTGGCCCTGTATGGCCATCAGGTTGCTTTTCACGATGGGCCAAAAGGTTTCCCCTTCCAGCTCATTCTTGTTGGCGTGCGACCCCAGGCGTGCACCCAGCGTCATCTCCAGGTTACCCTTTAAACCCAGGAGGGCTGGGACCAGAATGATCAGAGCAGGGACATCTCGAAAAACCTTCATGTTGCCGGTCGTGTAATCCAGCAGAGCCCCAGAAGCGACCATGCCCATGCCAGCGAGGAAAAAACAAGGGCTGACTTCCAGGACCGCTTTCCAAATCGCCCCCGAATCGGTTTTCGGCAGGGACATCTGTTTCTTCAGAGGTCCCAGATCTGTTTCTTTTGCTCCACTAGGCAAAGCCAAGTAAGCCGCCTGCTCCGTCATGGCTGCGCCTTGTGCGGCTGGTACGATTTGGACTGAGCAAGACTTGGGCCTACTTGAGCAGCTGAGTTGAAAATGCTTGCGGGCGGCATGGATTCGCAAGCTCGCTCTCATTCCTAAGCAGAAATGTGCAGTCAGCCTGTCAACATAAAGCTCCACGGGGTTATTGCACATTCACGATAAGCGAAAACTGGAAGAAGAAGAAGAAGAAGAAAACGGTGATGGTGCTGATGATGCTGATGTGCTCACTGATGATGCTGGCATGCTGATGCTCTGTGATGGTCTGTGATGGCTTGCGATGGCAGCAAAAGCAGACTTTTGAAACCTTGGCTGGGAACTCACATCGTACTTTCACGATCGTAGAATCCAGAGCCGTGTGCTGCGAATTCCGGGCTGAGTGGGCACATGTGGGTTTGTTGGTGCGGGTTGCTGGAGCCTCTCTGGGCACTTCCTCAATGAGCACCTCGTCATCGTCCATCGCCTCAGCTTATGCCCGACCCTTCGAAGCTTATGCGGCCCTTCGATGCATGTAGGGCCGTTTTGCTTTAGGGTCTCGGAGATCTCTGTCCTTTCTCGGCAATGTTGGAGCCGCATCTTCTTGCACGAAGTGAGAATTCATCAGCTGATAACGCCCTGCCACGCCACTGAAACTGACAACTCCTGCGCCCCAAAATCCGAAACCTCTGAACCCCAATAAACCTGGATGACGCCTACTGTAGGGGTCTTAATCATTAGAAAAGGGTTTCGGGGCCCATTCTACTATACTTATAGTCAGGAACCCCCAAAAACGTATAGGCAATAATTCAGAGACTCCAATACCCCTTAATTAAGGTATATACCTTAAATCATATTAGGGATCCTACTATAATTTAAGGTATATTCCTTAATTGAGGGATATTGGAGTCTCTGGGAATTCAGGACCCTACACCATGACAGGTCCACTCAGGCTCCAGCTGCTCAGCAGTTCCCAATGCTCAGCGACGGCAAACTTACAGGCATCTAAAACCGACCGCTGGGATAAAGCTTGAATGTGAAATGCGAAAGAGTGTGTCCCTAAACCCTAAACCCTAAACCCTGTGTTTTTGCTCAGGAATTGCCCTGCTGCCATGAGATGTTTCTGTTCTTTGCTCTGCACGCACCCGGAATGAACGCAAAGTTACTGCCACTGAGGACTGGCAAAACACTGCCAGATGGCTTAGTCTGCTGCTTCTTCGCTCTACCTGTACACCCTTCTATGCCTTGTACCCGGAATCCCAACCTGCACTTTGGGGCGGAGGGTGATGCTCCTGCTTGTGAGCAGCATGCCTGGTCAAGCTAAGCTCGAGCCATCGGCCGTTGCGAAAGAACAAAGTTGACCCTATAGCTTTACCAAAGCGACAGACGAAAAGCTCCTCGACTCCAGATTGTGCACCTGAGAACACCCCACTCCGAGAGATACCTATGCCCTGCACTATAACTCTATGGTGGGATAATATGTACCCAACACGCTTAAACAACTGTAAGTGTAACTACGAAGGCAGCCCTTGCGGGAATCCTCTCGCCTTTCAGCGGCTCCATGTGGTGAACAGGGTAGCCCGCCACGTTGGCCATGCGCTGCTCGATTCTGCGGCAGTTAGGAATTTTTCGGGTTTAGGGTTTAGGGTTTAGGGACGTTTTGCACTGTATAGGGCCCCTAGACCATAACCATGAATCCTAAATCCCAAAGCGTAACCCAAAGTCCTAAACCATAACCCTAAATCCTACCACCCCCTTTAGGGCTAAGGCATAAAGAGTTGCACATGTTCGATTTGTCTTCAGAGACCTGATCTTTCGGGTATGGAGTTTAGGGTTTAGGGTTTAGGGTTTAGGGTTTAGGGTTGGTAGTCATGGGGTTTATAGTAAGCACAAGCAGGCAAACTGCAGCATTAGCAGAATTACCAGTGGCAGTAGCAATCGTAATAACAACTAAAAAACCCAAGAAAGCCCTGAACCTTGAAGCTGGGACACCAGGCCCAGCGCTTCTCCAGAACCAGAGCTAACCAGAAATGAGGGTGGTTCTACACGTCGTCCCCTGCCTTGTGGGCTTGAGTGTCATGGGATGCGGATTTTAGCATGCTGTGGGAGAAGGCATGGCATGATTAATAGATGCTCTTCTGAGTGAACAAGGACACCCCGAGGGCCAAAGGTCACTGCAATCACAAAAAGCCCCCTTTGCAGGGATAGGCTATCAGGCCGAGTTCCAGCCAACCCTGAAAAATCCGAAGGCATACAACCCCACGCTCCACAACTCTGAACCTGCTAGCCTTAGGCATGGCATGTGTATGTATGTATGTATGCATGCATGCATGCATGCATGCATGCATGCATGCATGCATGCATGCATGCATGAATGTAGGTAGGTATGCAGGTATGTATGTACGTATGTATGTACGTATGCATGTATGTATGTATGTATGTATGTATGTATGTATGCATGTATGTATGTAGTATATGCAAGCATATGTATAAGTATATGTACAAGCAAATGTATATGTATATGTAAACGTATATGCAGAGGTATATGTATATGTATATGTATACGTATGTGTATGTATATGCATTTGTATATGCATGTGTATATGCCTGTGTATATGCATATGCTTATGCATATGCTTATGCTTATGCATATGCATATGCATAGGTCAGCGTGCATGTATGCATATGCATACATGCACATGTCTTGGAGGTATGTATGTATGTATGTATGTATGTATGTATGTATGTATGTATGTTTGCATGCATGTACGTAGGCATATATGTATATATGTATGTATGTATGTATGTATGTATGTATATATGTATGTATGTAGGTAGGTATGCAGGTATGTATGTACGTATGTATGTATGTATGTATGTATGTATGTATGTATGTGCATATATATATATAATATGTATGTAGGTAGGTATGCAGGTATGTATGTACGTATGTATGCATGTACGTGTGTGCATATTCGAAGGTCTGCACACCTCAAAGCTAGCATCAAAAGTCTGGCCTGGCAATGCTGTCCAAGTCTGGTTCCTGCATCTGGGGAGCTCATTGAAACTATTGACCGGGCACTGCCAACTTGCTAGGCCTTGCACCCTCCCTCGCTACCACTTGTGCGTTTCTTGCACGCAAGCCTGTTTTTGCATAGGTACATCTTGCTGTATACCTGCATCTTGCATTCAACCCCAAACCCTGGGTTGAACTTCGCACCTGCTGATTTTCCACGGGCTTCAGGATAGCCAGCAGCGCTTTCACCTTCGGCATGTAGAATTGGGTTCCTATCAGGGTCCTTTGGCTCTCCAGGTTCCTACACGGGCCTTAGGGCTTTCGGGTGTGAGGGATGGGATTGGGCTTCAGTGCGGCTTGGGGTGTGGGATTGAAGGTTTGGGACCTCCTTGGCAACCCAAGCCAAAGGAAAAACAGAGTGTGAGATTACGACCAACAAATGCTCCTGGTATTGGGCCCTCAACCCCAAACCTCAAAGCCTTAATTAGGCCACAAAGGTCCTGCACTTAACCCCTGAAGCGCCAAGTGCCTGCCATCACCAGTCAAATCGCACCGCAATCTGCCCTCTTTCACTTTAGGCACTCCGGGTGTTCACCATAGCTGGTTGATACCATTTGCTACCCCTAAACCCTAAACCCTAAACCGCCCGTGAGGCAGCTCTCTTGCCCTCTCGTTCTTTCTGCCTCATCTTCAGAGAGAAAAGATGGGATAACCCGCAGCTTTGGGTCCTCACGGCATACAGCTTTGGAGAGGGGTTTAGAGGGCTTACGGCCTGGAGGGTGTAGGGTTTCCGTGGATTCTGGCTCAGAGGATTTAGGGTTTGGGTGTAGAGAACGAGAAAGTCTTCTCACGAGTGCTCTCAAAAGAACTTCTGAGCCACAAAGCTGAACTACGTACCACACCGAGAAGCCTAGATTGATAACCATCGGCCGAAATCCATCAAGATCCCAGACCTCAGACCACCAGGAGCCTCAAAGTATGCAAAGCTCCCAAGTCTCTTCAGCCCAGGTCCTCGCACAAAACGAAAGACTTTAGCTGTCCAGAGCTCACTTCAGTCGTGTCCTCTGCCACATGGCTGAAGCTTTGGGCTGATGAGGGTTTAGGGTGTAGGATTTTGGGCTTTCAGTTGCAGTAAGTGTTCACTTCTCTGCCTCTTATCCGACTGCAACGCACACCCACAATCAGTGCCGCAAGAATCCAACAATGACGAGTAATCGGTTTTAACCTTCCGCGTGACGCCCCTACATGACTATAGGTACCCTAAACCCATAAATCCCAAAGCCGAGGCCTAAACCCAGCCTCAATCCTAAACCCTAGACCCTAAACCCCAAGCCCCAATTCCTGAACCCCACCCGTGGCCCAAAAAGACCTGCCCGTTCAAGGACATATATGTAGAAACCATCATAGGGAGCCCTAGACAGGTAGGAATTTTGCGGCTAGAGGTACTGTAGGGGCCTTGATAATTAGAATCGGATTTGGTGGCATATTATACTATACTCACAATATGGAGCCTCCCAACATACTCGTAGAGGTGCTATACTCGTAGTAGTAAGGAACCCCCAAAATAGTATAGGTGATTTATGAAGGCTCCTCTACTACAGGTACTATACTCATAACCCCTAGAGAGGTATAGGTAACTATAGAGGCCCCTATTTACTACGATGAGAGTATATTATACTTATAATAAGGAACCCCCAAAATAGTATAGGTACTTTATGAAGGCTCATCTATGACAGGTACAACTCATAACCCCTACCAAGGTATAGGTAATTATGCAGGCTCCTCTATTACAGGTACTATTCTCATAACCCCTAGAAAGGTATAGGTAATTATGAAGGCTCCTCTATTACAGGTACTATACTCATAGCCCCTAGAAAGGCATAGGTAATTTATGAAGGCTCCTCTATTGCAGGTACCATACTCATAGTAAGGAACCCCCAAGATAGTACAGGTAATTTATGAAGGCCCCTCTATTACAGGTACTATTCTCACAACCCCTAGAAATCCTAGAAAGGTATAGGTAATTTATGAAGGCTCCTCTATTACAGGTACTATACTCATAACCCCTAGAAAGGTATAGGTACTTATGAAGGCCCCTCTATATTACGATGGATGGGAGTATACTATACTTATAAAAAGGAACCCCCAAAATAGCATATGCAATTTATGAGGGCTCCTCTATTGCAGGTACTATACTCGTAGTAAGGAACCCCCAAAGTAGCATAGGTAATTTATGAAGGCCCCTGTAGTAGAGGTACTATACTCATAACCCCTAGAAAGGTATAATTATGAAGGCCCCTATAGTAGCGGTACTATACTCATAACCCTTAGAAAGGTATAGGTAATCTTTGAAGGCCACTATATTACAGGTATTATACTCATAACCCCTAGAAAAGTATAGGTAATTATGAAGGCCCCTACTTATAATAAGGAACCTAAAGCCTAAACCCTGTAGTAAAGGTAGGGTCTCCTTCTTCAGCTCCAAAGGATCCAGGCAGCTCAGGGGCATGGGCCCTGCGCTTGGGGCTTTCGCCACGGTGGGTGGCTTAGGGTTTAGGTTCTAGGGTCTAGGGTGTAAGGATTAGGGTTTCGGGTTTATAGTGTAGGGTTTAGGGTTTTTTCGGGATTGGGTTTAGGGATTAGGGCTTTTTTTGGGGGCTTGACAAGGGTTTTAGTTGGTTTAGGGGGCTAGGGTTCACGGTTTGGGGTTTAACGCTGACTGGCCTTTTTGTACACCCACCCCCCCTCAATTGTAAAACTCGACCCCCAGAATCAGAACTCAATTATCAACCCATCCTCAATTGCATAACCCGATCCCGCGAACTCAATAACAATCCCGTCCCTGGTTCCTAACAGAACACTTGAGGCCCTTTTGTCAGCCCTTCCCGAGTCGCAGAGAGCGTAGTAGTACTCGGACCCCTCTGAATAATCATTCTCCCCTGCCCGGGCCTGATACTAATCTAAGGGGACGGGGGGGTTATTATCAGCACGTGAACATGAGGGTTAGTCAAGGGGTCATCAGTCGCCTCGGCCCCGGCCCAAGCCGTACAGATCCGGGCAGTGGGGTGATCGGACGCCCTGCCTGCAGCACCTAAGGCGGCATCGTTTTCTGCCTGGCGATGGCCACTGCTGGCCACTTTGGGGGGAGGGCAACTTCTCGTGCTTGAGATCACATTGAATCGTTCCCATAAGCAGGCAGCTACTGAGTTGGCTGGCTGTATTTTCAGTTGTGTCGGGTCGGTATAACATGGATCCTGCTACCTCTAGCTCTATACTGGCTTTCTGCCGCGTCTCAAACTCCCATGCAATTTTCTATAACACCTGCCTCGTAACACAGTCAGAAAGCACCCTGGATCCATGGACAATTCTGCCACAGCGGGGGGGGCGGGGTGACATGCCGGGGTGTAAAGCTTGTGATTGCGACCTCAGGTGCAAGAAACTAAATTTTAAACCCTGAACCCAACACCCTTAAGCCTAAACCCTAAACACGAAAAGTACGTCTCAATTCATGGTTCGTAGTTCTGCGGCACGGTGCATGGCCGTGACTGCTCCCCAAACCCAAACGGCTTTGGGGTTTAGGGCTTTAGGGGTTTAGGGTTTAGGGTTTAAAGCACTAAACTTAAAGTTGTGACGACAAGGGGACATATTCCTTTCAATTCCTCAAGCCCAACTATTAGGCCGACTGTAGCATGCTCCCAGCTCTTGGAACCCTTCTCTGCCGACGGCCTCCCACTCCCGAAGCGGCTTGTCATTAAAGAAGCAGTTCACTCCAAACTTTGTGGAGGTCCTGTGCCCCGAGGCTGAACCCAAAGAAATGAATTGGGTGGGGGTGGCCTGACTGAACCAAGCTTCGGCATCGGGCTATTTCGGGGGAAAAGGCTGAGTCGGAGAGGGTTTCTCGAACATCTTGGTACCGAAATACGAGTTTAGGGCTTTCAGGGCTTAGGGTTTGGTGCTTTATCCAAGGAGAGGCTCGGACGGACAGTTTTGCCGAGGGTTTCGGCGGAGGTAGGTGGAGCTCGAAAGCCACATTCTTGGATCTTTAGCCCACACAACTTAACTCGGAATCCCAGTGGGGCCAAAGCCTTGAAGGTTCATGGGCTCCTCCTCGGTAGGCTTATTTATGACTTTTGGTAGCCATACAGTAGATCATGTTCTCGTACTCTCGTGCTGTCCCTGCAGCAATCACATCTTTAGTTTCTGTTTGGGGTCCATGCATTTAGGCCGTGGATAAGCCAAGACGGAGAGCGTACAAGGTGATTCTCGTCTGAACCCTTGCGACGGGCAGCGAAACCATCGGAACCTTACCTGGCTCACCTCTCTGTTGCTTGTAAGGCCTGAACCTCCAGTTCATGTCTAGACAGCATAGAAAACCCCAGTTCCTAACGAAGCCTAGATGTGCTCCTGGGCGGCAGGCCCAGGTGGATGGTGCGCTGGTCATCGACACCCGGTGATAGGATGTTGGACCACATCACAGCAGCACCCTGCCATGCAGGATATGATGTTTGGCACGTCTGGGGTGGAGGGATGTGGAGCTTTCTCCAAATGAAGGATACCTCGCGAAGGGGTTCGCATAATAACGACCCTAGTACGTGAGATCATATAATGAGATCCCAACCGTCTGACACGCACATGGTAGTCATCTAGGGGCCTTAATCATTCGAATAGGGTTTTTGGGGGCCCACTATTCTATACTCACAATAAGGAACCCCAAAAAAATCCCTAAACCATAAACCCTAAAAAAATTTGGTAATTCTCTCGTCCCTTTTTTAGAGGAACCTGGGGTTTTCCCCTTTGGCCTTCGAGCCTTCGAGCCTTTGCAGTTGGGGTGCCAGCTTTCCTGGCGCCCAAATTAAGGCTTAGGGCTTAGGGTTTAGGGTTTAGGGGCTAGGGGTTAGGGGTTAGGGGTTAGGCCTCAAGGTTTAGAGTTCAAGGCTTAAGGTTTCGGGCTTAAGGTTAAGGGTTTCTGGTTGAGCAGACTCTGCTCCTTGTCAGCCACAACTCGAAATCCAAAGCGCAAGACGAACACCTTGAACCTTAGACCCTGAACCTTTGAGCCTGAACCCTATAGACCCTACCCATAGGCCCCATAGTAGTTCCTTTTTGGGATTACCTTATAGGATTCTAAGCGTCGGCCGGGCTGGCCTGGCGCCATGCTCTCGAGGAGGACCTTCTCGAAGTCATAGACCTGCCAACCGGGGAACTCGCTGATGGCTTACGCCGAG